GACCTCGAGCGAGCTAACCCTCGGCGAGTGGGGTCCACCACGGGATGGATCTCTCCGTGCGCAGCTCACTCCCAACGACCAAGTGCTGGTGCCAACTCCCACGCATTCAGGCGTAGCACTACGTATGCGAAGTCTTTAAGTTAGTTTTTGCTAATTTGGTTTCAACGCGAACACGTTTGATTGATAAAGTAATAAGGAACCGAATAGGTGAGAGAGGGGAGAGGGCTCTGACTAACGTTAAAGTCTGCTCAAGCTAGTGTTAGGTAGTGACTAGACATACATCGTTTGCCACTAGGTACTGCTACCGTAAAGTAGGCTCACTTAATTTGCTACGACTCATATGCCAAAGGTAGCGTGCATTGATCACGATAAGGATTCAATGCACTTGGCAAATTTGATGTCATACCTGCGCGTCGCCTTGAGCATCCATCCACTGTGCAATGAGCCATGATGCGCCGGCAAAAAATAATGTACACGACAAACAATTACATTTGGTTAACGCTATAAGAGCTGGCCCGCAACAAGCTTTGTCGTGGACCAAGTCGACGTGTCCATCCACAACGACCGCCGCTCGTGATGACGACAACCGCTGACGTGCGCACGTGCTCTTCCGGGAGCGTCTTGAGCCGGTTGTGGAGCGACGCGAGGCATATTGCTGGTGGGCCCTGACCCTTTGTCTTATCGACGTGCGTGCCGTCCTGTCGAGTGCCACAATATAGGCTACGGTCCGCAGATCTTCGTCGTCGACGTAGATGCCGATTTGGCCCGGGTCCACGCCTGCGTGAGCTTCGAACGGCCGCATCATGACGCACTTTCGCACGGCTTCGCCACGCTGATCACTGCTCTGCTTCGTTGTAAGAGCAGTCATGCGACGAACGGTTCGTGCAAGCGCTAATGCATGTTCGCGTCCGGGGCGGCTTGGTATGCCGTAACGTGGCGGTCGCCCTTGTGGACGTCTGGAATCGTCGGAAACTCGTTCAAGCAGTATGTCATGCGGAATCCACCGAGACTACACGGCGGCGTTTGCAATGGGCCTTGGATGTCCATCAAGGTGCCCACCAAGACGACACAGGTCGAAGGTACGTAGACTGTCGCTTCCCATCTCGTCGCAAGCAGAAAGACGCGCTCTTGAGGTCGCGTACAGTCCCTGATCGTTGAAAACTCTCACGTCGCCGTCGTGGATGAAGCGGCCGCTGTATCACCAGCGACTGCTGACTAGCAGCTGCACAAACAATTGTAGAACCCAGGACCGCAGCCCCAGATAGCGCGCTTGTGGCTGGAATAAGTTGGATTCAGGACAAGCATGCAGGCGTCGAGACGATGGCGAGCGAGCGGGTGGGTGGGATCGATCGACGCCGCCCTCTAGGCGCACCATGGCTATGATCGCCGTCCGCTCAAGGTCATGGTCCGGCTTGCTGGGAGATTATTAATCGGGCTGCAGTCGTGGTTGACCCCAACCGAGGCACCGGAATGTGTTCGTCGAGCACACAGATAGTCTCATCTTCATGAACACACCGTAGGTCCAAGATTCTTGTCATCTGCGTGATTGATGACCGCCGGTTTGTATTTACGTTTGCGTTGCGTTGCGTCGGTGTGTGACAGTAGCACCGCGTGCAGTGCGTTTTCACAAGGGTATTTATCGCCTTGGTTTCCACCACTAACCCGGGACAAGGCGTTGTAAAACATAGTTGTAGATCGTCTTACGGGAAGATCGGTTGAGACTGTACAGGAACCCTTGTCCAAGCTTCCAACAATCAGTTGTTCACTTTCCAATTGCATTCAATGCACATGCCGATGATCAGGGAATATGCCCTCCCTTCGTATGTGTTTGGTTTGATAGCTGAGTCACCGGCCCACAGTCCCATCGTTAATATTGTGGCCAACGGCTTCTGCTGTTATAACACTACGGCTTCTGCTAGAAGTTGTGCAAGTCGTGTGGTTTGCGCTTCACTATCTAGCTGTATAGCACAGTGTGTTCAGCCACAGACCACCGCGTGCAAGCTCATGTGGTGTGTCTTTCTATTTTGTTGTATGACATTGAACCCCCTTGCAAGTGTGAGCCAAGTAGCTTGTTAGAAGTGATCCAGTCGTGACCAGTTGGCTCCAGGATGCTCAAGCTGGGATCCTTGAGTCTGGTTGCATCCCAGATCAAGAACCGAACGCGATGATCCTCCCCTGCTCCAGAACTCGATCCTCCCTCAACGTTCCCAGCAATACCGGAGCAAAGTGACGTTTGTGTCTATTTTGGCCCCAGACTCGCTGTCTTCGGAGGGTTAATTCTGTCTGTGGAAGTCGCCTCGAAAGTTCAAGTGGCTTTGCCAAAAGACAGCGCGATGATAGGCAGGCATGCAGACACTAGAAAGGTTATGAAACTATTGCGATATCTGAGCGAAGTGGTTCTGGTTGTCGACACTCTGTTGAAAGTGTCCACGGCATGACAAGACGCTCCAGGTCTCCAAGAGCCAGGTGGCCGTGCGCCGCCACACGCGTTGGCGATTCCACTCGGACGAGAATTTCACAACAGTGAGAAACATACCCATGTGAGTCGCGATGTCCTGAGGCGACCGACTCTTGGCCTCATCCACTCAAAACCGCAGTTCCGCGCGTACGAAGGACGTCAGATAAAAATCCGGTCGGCCCCCCCGAGAAGAGGCCGGCTGATCGACCAGGTGAGTCCCGAGGACTGAAGAGAGACGACTCCTCGCCTTCTGTACGTGTCCTGTCGCTTGAGCACTGGTTGCCCGGTGCCTTCGGGTGAGTCCGACTGCTTGAGCGCGAAGCTGGCGCTGGCGCCTTCTGTCGCGGACGTTGTCCTTGGCACTGGTCCGTCTCCTTGCGGGTGGTCCAACGACCAAGACCGTGGTCTGCCTTCGTCGTGTACGCCGTATAGGCACGCATCCGGCCCCCACGACTGACGTCTGTCTTGCGTCACCAGGGGCCGTTTCGCGCGCGTCTTGGGCAGATCTCGTCACGTTCGGCATGGGCGGTGCTTCCATCTCGTCGTGGCGGCTGTCGCGTGGGTGTTGGCGCGAGTCTTGCTATTCACCTGCGTGGGGAGTGTATCGAGATTGCACCGGTCGCGTCGCCTGCAAGGTGATCCACAAGCTTCGTCCTCCGAGTCTTGGCTTTGCTTGGCATCGTCTCGCCAAGCTCGCGCACGCTCAGCTAGCATGTTACATGTCATGCTGTGACCGTTTCCGCCTCCAAACGCCAGACAAAGGGAGGCCGTACTCCCAAACACCGGCGTGTTTACTAAGAGGCAAATAGGGAACTACTAGGCTAACGGACTGCTGGAGCCCTGGCCACAGGCTCCTGTACAGTCCCATCCTAACGGTTTCTCGGTAGGACTATCTTACTGAATTGTGATCGGATTTTTTCGGGTGGCTGACCCGATAAAACTTCTCGGCATCTGATTGGCTAAAAACATCCTATGACGTGGCAAGCTGAAAACAGTGGGGCCCATGCAAAGAACATAAACGTGTAACATGCGCGAGCGCAAGGACAAAACAAAGCGCTGGCTTAAACGAATTAGCGTAGCAGAGCTTCGGGCATTGACTTTGGTTCCCTGTACGCATGACATATCAATACATTGCCGCGGCAATCGAATACCATCCGTTTTACCTTCCTGGCGTGTCTTGCTCTTGAAAAACGTGACGCCAATTGCGTCGCCTTCGCATGAGAGGTGTTCACGCGCACCGTCTCCGTTGACTTGGATCGGCACACGAGGTTCCGTGGTATCGTTAGGAAGAGTTGCGTGAAGCCACCATCCGGGAGCGTGAAGCTGTCCTCACCGAGACGCTAGCACTCGTCAAAGGTGAGCGCACCCTTAGCATTCGGCACCTTGCTCTAGGACTGGCTTCGCGACGCAAGCGTGCGCCAAATG